GAAAAAATTACTTACGATCTGTGGGGAGTGGATTGAGATATGGTGGCGCAGTGGCTAGAATGCAGTACTGCAGGCTACTTCTGATGACTGCTGGCTACCTTCAATTTGACAGTTCGAATCTCACCAGACTCAAGGTTGACCTATCCTTCCATCCTTCTGAGGTTGGTAAAATGAGAAACCAGATTGTTGGGCGCAAATATGCTGACTCTGTAAAATGCTTTAGAAAGGGCTGTAAAGTACTCTGAAGCGGTATATAAGTCTAAGTGCTACTGCTATGATTTATCACAGCAAACCCAGAGTTGTGTGATCAAAATTTGGGTACTTGGCAAGTATTTATGACAGTTGCAATGTTCCAGAGTCATGTGATTTGTTGGCTTCTGACAAGCAGTCAATGGGAAAAGACAAACTTGCTTAATGATTCGCTTAACAACCTTGGCAAAAAAGATCGTATAATTGGGTGCAATTTACATCACAGCTGCCTTGTTTAGCAAGGGAGACTCTATTCCAAATGGGATTGAAGGTCGAGGTCTACCTGTCGTCAGAGAGATTATACTGGATAACTCAACTACCCAGTGTACTAGCTCTGAGGTATAACCCAAATCATGGCAAAGTCTGTTAAAATACATAAAGGATTTGAATCTTTGATTAATTTGGAGGATGCCATCTAAAAAGAAGTAGAGTAAGAAATGATTAAGCAAAAAGATTTCAGAAGGAGCATTTCACAAAATATTTCATCACAACCCCTAGATATTATTAATGGTTAACTGTAGGTGGTTTCAAAATTTGGTCCTGTCACACCTTAACGGCAGTGCCACAATTGTATAAACTACACAAAAGTATGGAATTTCTCTGCCTTTGGTTGCATTTTGTTGGGAAACTCATTCCCCGGTCACATCCTAGTTTGGTTACTGCAACATATTTTACACGGGCTGCCCTTGGTGACCATCTAGAAATTACTGCTTGTTCAGAAGACACATGTAATTTTGAGCACCCCATGGTCTGCCCGTGTTCTACCAGTGCTTTGTAAACTACACTAGCTTCCCATTCACTTTAAACCCTAGATGGCAAAGGGCTAGGTTACTTGTGGGCCACTTCTCCCTGGGGCATCTTCCCATTTCACTAGGTCTTGTACAATGGGCATACTCCAAGTCCCTTCCCTCAAATGTTACACCTGTTGGTGATACCTAGACAATTTGCCTTCTTAGCAAGTACCCTACAATTTGGAACACATTTTCCCATGAGATCGGTCAGGTTACTCTCCTCCTGGCCTTCCAAAAGGTTTTTCCCACAAGCTTTGGGATGGTGAGTTTGGAGCCCATGAAAGCTCTACAGTTCATTTGGGACTATGTTGTGCTGGAATGTTCTAGGACAGAGTTCCCCAACCTTTCCGGATTTGCAGACTGGGGTGTGTGTGTGAAAGGAGAAGGTTCCGTGCAAATGGAGTGCACACACATATGCTTGCCTGCCGCTTGTACAAGTTGGGATGTGCATACATCCGTATACTTGCCTGCCACTTTCACGTCTTGGTTGGGAACAGCTCAAGACCAGGTAGTGGGCTGTGTTCTGGGAGGCTTTTATGCTTCGTATCATTTTACTTTTTTTGTAAGCCACCCAGGATTATGTTACATAAGATGGGGAAGCTATACAAATCTTATTTATAAACAAATCAATAAAAATAAAATGAAATGTGTGGTTCTGGGAACAGAGTGAGACTGGTCAATGAAGCTCTAGTCCCTTTTCTGAAAACTCTGCTTCACAATGGTCGTGGCTCTAAATATTGCAAGAACTGCAGTTATTTCTTGTGTACCTATATGGCACCGCACACCAGTATTTCTAACAAGATCGTTGAGGATCCTGGAAGATTTGAAATTTTTCCAAAATGATGCTTAGTGCCACAACAGCACCATTAGTAATGAGAACGTTTGAGTTTCCTTTTCTGTAATATACTTCCTGTTCCATTTGGGGGTTTTATAGCTACCAACACGTGGGAATGTTTGTATCTTGGGAGTATTCTAGCTTCTTTCTCATTCCTTTGTAACAGGAGAAGAAGTACTGCAGAGATTCTGCTTGTCGTCTTAATACAGAATGCAATTAAGAAAAGAACAGGAAAGCTGCCGCACTCAAGAGTGCCTCTATAAAACAGAATGCTACAAAGTGAAACAAAGGGAAAGAGACAAGTGTCTAAAACCCAAAGGGCCTCTGCTACCTACTTCAGCCACTGGCTCCATCTCTTGCCCATGGGTGGAGACTCGCCCCAAGCCCTCAGTCGGCGTGCCCGCAGGTGAGTGGCTTTGTTGCACTAGATCGGGAAGGTTGACATGGCCAGCAAAGCCATTGCTGGCTGGGTGGCCTGAGCGCTTGTGGTCACCAGAAGTCTGCAGAGACACAAGTTATATGGAAAAGAAGAGGAGGAGGAATTGCAGAAGGAAACAAACAAACAAAAAAACACAACCCAAGCTTGCCATATCAACCCACATTCTTAAGCAAGCACGGAAACAAGACCCCTGGTTTCTTGACACACAACATGCAGCAAGAGGCAACTATCAGCGGAGGTGACATTAGGAGGGCATGCAACACAACAATGAATTCACAGGCCAGTGAGTTGGTGCGACAGCATGCTTCTACAGCAGAAGGAAGATGATTATGATCTTTTATTTAAAAAAGACCGTGAATCTAGAAATGCTAGAAATTTATACCAATGGCAAAAACTATCGCGTAAGTGACAGGATGCAGAAGAAATATTATAAGGACAGTGGAGTCAACATGGTTTTCATGTTTAAAGCAAGTGTTTGGAAGCTGTCAATATGGAAATGCCTACAGGTTGCATGGCAGCTGACAACCAGAGTAGAGGTGCTGACTGTAGGATATAGAGCTTTCAAATGACTGGCACAAACAGAACAGCCTGATTAAGTGTCCTATCAGGATCTCAGGATTCTTGCACCACTAGAGCTGTGTCCCCATAACACGGTTATTGCAAGTGTTGCCTAGTGTGATACTTGCCCTCACTGCAAATTCACTGGGCTTCTTTACTGGGCCAGAGATAAGTTTAGAAATAAACTGGTGGGAAAAATGGGAAAAATGTGGATCTGAATGTAGTTTCATCATAATATGCTTGCCATCTTCTATATAGCATCTTACATTAACAGAATTAACGGAGTGTGTTGACTTTATAAGAAGGCATATGAAAATGTGCTCGACACAATTATTTTGTCACATTCTTCATCTTTGTGTGGCAAGATTCAATTTTGACAATGCTTAACAGCACAGAGCAACTATCTCATGGGAAATATAGTAATATCCAATATCTGCTGCGTTCTCAGACTTGTAATATTAACATTTCCCTTGCAGAAACTTTCTCCAGCTAGCTGTCCTCCAGAGGAATTAGACTTCAATTCTATATTACCTCAGCCTACCTGGCCTATGATGACCAGATTAGGACAGGTAATCCTTGATTTTACAACAGTTCATTTAGTGACCGTACAAAATTACAACAGCACCGAAAGAAATGATTTATGACCATTTTCCACATTTACAATCGTTCCAGCATCCCCATGGTCACTTGATCAAAATTCAGGCACTTGGCAATTGACTCATATTTATGATGATCACAGTGTCCTGGGATCCTGCGATCACCTTTTTGTGACTTTCCCGACAAGCAAAATCAATGGGAAAACCAGATTCACTTAACAACCATGTTACTAATTTAATGACTGCAGTGATTCACAACTGTGGCAAGAAAGGTGGCAAAACGGGGCAAAACTCACTCAACAAATTTCTCATTTAACAACAGAAATTTGGGGCTCAATTGTAGCCGTACATTGAGGACTACCTGTATGAAAATTTAAGGCAATCTTAGAAAGGGACCCAACTGGAAAAACTACTTCAAAGGGACGTTAGAAGTAAATGAACTTCTCTATTCTCACCAAATTTCTCCCCTTCTGCATGTCAACTTGGGGATCATCTATCAAGGATTCAATCACTTCCAGGGATGGATAAGGGGGAGGCATGGCGGGTTGGTCTCAAAATCTCCACATCCTCCCTAAAAATGGGCCAAAATGTTTCCCTTGTACAGTCTGGCGATGATACTAATGCAGCCTTTGGAGCCCCTAAAATAGCGATCCCACACAAGAAGTTACCGCTCCTGGCTTGGTGTGTGGCATAAATCCAGTTATGAAAAAATATTAAGTCAAGAAAAGGACTAAGCTATTTACTCTGCTGTCTGATAACTTAGCTTTGGTTCCTTCTAGTTCAGAAGCCAACGGGGAGCTCTAAGTTAGTACAATACTCATCAAGATCTGGGCCGGGAAGTTGCCTGGAATTTTATGTCCCTTTTGCTGTACAGTTTTTACCTTGCCAGCAGGATCCCCTTTAGTAAAAGAATGATAATATCCTTATCTTACATGTTTGGAAATAAATATTCCAGCTTAATACGTTTCAGAAGGAGAGTTTGCATGAATCCCACTCACTGACTATTAAATGAGCTGTATAGAACTGGTCTTGGTTCCTCTCTCCTCTCCTGACATCTAGAGACCTTTGCTGGTATCTAGAACCTGTTAGACTATGTCTTAACTGAGAAACCAAGGATCAGCCTTGGGTCTCTGATGCACTATATGAAACCAGGCTTTTAAGTTTATTAATAAAACCATCATTTGCTGTTTGGGTGTAACAGAGAAATGGTATGAATTAATTTTGATGCAGCTACCAAGATTGGCATGCAAAGAGAAAAAAATATTGTGTGGGACAAGGGTAGCTGATAGGTTGTTTGAGAAAATATGCTCTATTCTGGCAGGATCACTGCATCCAAAGCAGAAATCGGGATTTATATCCTGGCATGGGGCAGTTGTCTGGTATTTTGCCCAGTAGCTTTGAAATGGCATGGTAATTATAAAATAATTTTAAAAAATGGCAAAATGGCATTTTATTTTAGCCACATGCTTTTGGCTTGTAATAGTCTTGGCCTCCTTGTATCCAGTCAGTCAGGGCCATGTTTAAAAAAAAAAAGGTGGGCCTGGACAAAAAAGGAAATTTTGTTTTCACTGTGTTTCAACCTCATCAAATCTGTTCCTATTTAAATGCACACCTGACCTACTTTAGCTGGGATTGCTTCCCATGGATTTAATAACTTCTCCTTTCAGTCCTCTTCATTCCAGTTGGCAGCACTTTTGGAAAGCCTTGCTGTTTGTTTGTGCATAAATCAAGAAGTTGTGTCCAGCTCTGGAACGTTAGATTGTGTATCTCTGCACTAATATTAGCTTGAAAATCAAACAAAACAAGTCACCGGTTTTTCACAGAGCCACCAACAACATAAGGTGTTGGTAACTCAAGCCTTCTGGGCTATGTAATCTGGAATTTATCAAAACCACTGGCCATTTTTCCAAGCTATTTTTTTCCACAGTGGCTAAAATAGAACAACAGAGTTGGAAGGTACTTCAGACAAATGGTTATCCAATCTCTTCTTAGTGAGTGTTGAAGCATTCATGACTTCTGGAGAAAAGTTGTTCCACTGATTAATTGTTCTATCAGGAAATTTCTCCTTAGTTCTAGGTTGCTTCTCTCCTTGATTAGTTTCCACCCATTGCTTCTTGTCCTACCCTCAGGTGCTTTGGAGAATAGCTTGACTCCCTCTTCTTTGGGGCAGCCCCTGAGTAGGCAGGCTACTCTAAGTCGAGGTGCACAAGTAGTTTTGTGCTTCCCCTGCACAGATTAGTAAGTTTCTTTTGGTCCCACAGAGCACACAAGCTTAGTTGCATACTAGTTTCAATGAAGTTTAGGTGCTTCCATTGCAGCATCCTTCCTTTCCCCCCACTTCCATCTGTGGTTCAATAAATGCAATCTAATCTAGCAAAAGAAAAAAAAACTCTATTCTTTCTGCTAGCCTCTGCTGGCAATGAAAAAGGGGAAAAAATGAAAAAGAAAGCTAGCTGATGCTATTTTAGCTGAATTACAAGTCTGGCAGAAATTGTCAGCAGTGTGTTACAGCTGCAGCAACCTGCTGTTTGTGCCTAATGTGCCACTTATTAAGGGAAGACTCCAGAGCAGGGTAATGTACCTGAAAGAGATTACCCCAGGCTGCATAAACGGCATCTGCCACAATTCTTAAAACTCTCAATTTAATCAGAGAGCAATGATTTATTTAGGGGAGGACAAAGAAAGAAGGGGGGGGGGGGGGCGAAATAGAAATCTCAGGCAGTCATCACAGCATGGTTCTTTCAGACAAAAAAGAGGACTACACAGAAAACACAAATGCAATTTCGCACAAAATTTTTGCCAAATGCAAAGAGAGAGAGAGAGAGAGAAAGAAAGAAAGAAAGAAAGAAAGAAAGAAAGAAAGAAAGAAAGAAAGAAAGAAAGAAAGAAAGAAAGAAAGAAAGAAAGAAAGAAAGGAAGGAAGGAAGGAAGGAAGGAAGGAAGGAAGGAAGGAAGGAAGGAAGGAAGGAAGGAAGGAAGAAAATGGAAGGAAGAAAATGAAAGAAAGAAAATAAATAAGTAAATAAAGACAGAATGAATAAAAGAAAAAGGAAGGAAGGAAGGAAGGAAGGAGAAAGAAAAGAAGCCAGCTCACTATATTACCCTTCCTATTGTACTATTTTGGTAAGCTCACATTTTATGTCAACAGGTTGGGAGACCTCTGCTATCATCTGAATTATGTCAGTATCTTATGTCTAGTTTGCACAAGAATCATATTTTAAAGAGGGAAAAGGATGTGTAAAGTAGAAGACTTTCACAGAGTGTTTTACAGCAGGTCTTTTATCAGCAGATCTTAAAACACGAGGTGCTGCCAACGAAATCCAGAGGAAGAAAATACCAGAACTTACATATAGTTCTATTACAGTCAAATTCTATTACTAAACTGCATTGGGCAAGGACTGTTTAAGACTTAGAAGATACTTACTGCAAAGTCACAAAACCTAGATTGAAAATCTATCTAAGATGCCTAAACTACTATTTAGGTGACAATTTTGCCAGCTATATTTTCTCCAACCCATTATAGATGCTCTCTTCCATGTCTACCTGTGAATTTTCAGGTCACAAGGTGAAAACAGATGTTTAAAAGTAACCTATGAGCCCTGGAGGATGTGGCTGCTATTACCACTTTGAGGGCTTTCAGAAGTAGAGAAAGTGCCAGCGATTAGCTTGACAATTACATGGACATGTACTCTGTACAAAGAAATACCCTCAGATCAGAAAAAGAGATTAGATAACCATTTGTCTGAAGTGGTGTAGGGTTTCCTGCCTAAGCAGGGGATTGGACTAGAAGACTCCAAGGTCCGTCCAACTCTGTCTATTCTATTCTATTCTATTCTATTCTATTCTATTCTATTCTATTCTATTCTATTCTATTCTATTCTATTCTATTCCATTCCATTCCATTCCATTCCATCATTCTAGCTCCTACCACCACAATGAAAAGACAGATTTAACAGATTAACAGAGTTGGAAGGGACCTTGTACGTCATCTAGTCCAACTCCCCGCCCAAGCAGGAGACCCTACACCATTTCTGACAAATGGCTGTCTAATCTCTTCTTGAAAGCCTCCAGTGCTTAAGCTCCCATGACTTGTGAAGGCAGGCTGTTCGATTGGTTGATTGTTCTCATGGTCTCCTTACTTCTAGGTGGAATCAATTTCCATCCATTATTCCTTGTCTGGCCTTTGGGTGCCTTGGAAAATAGATTGACCCCTTTCTCTTTCTGGCAGCCCCTCAAATATTGGAAGACTGCTATCATGTCTCCCCTGGACTTTCTCTTTCTCTTCACTAGACTCGCCATGCTTAGTTCCTGTAATGGTTCTTCATATGGTTCTTCTAAGACAACAGAATATGGCTAGAAAAAATTAGCTGTGAACAGCTCCTCCACCCCATCCTTGCTTCTAAAAACTATAGCTGGCTTCAACAATAAGCAACACTACTGTTTCCTCACAAAGGGAAGTGGGTCATTTAATATCACAGATGATTGCTGGACAGTGCTGGAGATCTTCATGTAAGGTGTCAGGTATACTTGTGAATGATACACTGATCTCCCCTTTATTGTTTGGGTGCTGTCCTTTTTTCTTAAGATAGGAGTTCTGACCATGAATCATCTATTTCCACTTGTTCAGGGCTTAAGAAAAAAAAAAGATAGATGACCTTTCTTTTCCCCAAGATTGTTTTCATGATGTATAGATAATGTTTTGAAGGAAGAGAGGGAAGGAATGGCACTAACTCATGAATGAAAGACAGAAGGGGGATTAAAGAGAGTGGATCTGAATCAATGGGTATCCCCGTGGGACAAAACGAGACAGAATATGGGTTGGGCTCATGCCCTTAGCTAAATTATCTTGCCTTCACTTGCCTCCTACAATCTGACCTTTTGTCCTGACAATATCATCAAGCAAACCTACTCTTTTCATACGAGGAGAGGAAAGGAGTATTATTTCTCTGGGAGGAGAAGGAAGCAGCCTAAGCAGGAAGCAGCCTAAGCAAATGACGTTTGGCGTAAATGTCTATGGAGGTTCTCAATCAACCCAGCTCACGGTTGTCCCAAAGGTGCTTGAAAATGTTTCCTTTCTCCTCCAAGAAACTGCTTCAGTTCTAGAACTGAAGAAGAACTGAACCAGCTACTTGGTGGGAACAAAAATAATAATAATCAAAAACAACAAGAAGAAAATCCAGTTGCCTTTTGGAAATGCACCTTTTGGGATGATGTTTAGTGCAGTTCCTTATCATGATCTGCCAGATATTAGGAAAAGTTTATCTATCAATGGCAGGATATTAATTATGGTACCCCACAAAGAGGTGTAGCTTTGCCTCAATAACTTTTACTAAAGCCTTCCTTTTGTTATATTTGTGCAATTGCCTTGTCCCTGTTACGTTTACAAAAAAACAACACAAGTGTACTTTTCACCACTGACTTTTACAGAGGGCCTTCCTTTTCTTCTCACCAAGGAAAAATAATTGGTGTGCTAAGAATTATAATTAATCTAAATTAGCAACTGAGAATCTCTTCCATATACAGGCAATCCACGACTTACAACCACAATTGAGGCCAACATTTCTATTGTTAAGAGAGACATTTGTTAAGTGAGTTTTGCCCCATTTTACGACCTTTCTTGCTATGGTTGTTAAGTGAATCACTGCAGTGGATAAGTTAGTAACTCAGTTGTTAAGTGAATCTGGCTTCCGCATTGATTTTACTTCTCAAAAGGTCACAAAAGGTGACCACATTTTCTTGGGACACAGCAACGGTCGTAAGTATGAACCGGGTGCCAAGCATCTGAATTTTGACCACATGACCATGGGGATGCTACAAAAGTTGCAACTGTGAAAAATGGTCATAAGTTATTTGTTTTTCAGTGTTGTTGCAACTTTGAATGGTCATTAAATGAACCTGTTGTAAGTCGAGGACTACCTGTAGTATGTGAACCAAGTTTCTTTTTCACTTTCACACTGTCAATTGTGTGCAAATTGCTTGCTTTAAAGTCAGCTTGAAAGAAGATGAAGATCTGAAAACAACCTTGCTATGTCCTACAGTGTTTGGTGCTGTTTATAGTTAAGACACATCTTTTGTTTAGATTTTATAATTATACTAATCAGCTGCAAACCAGTACAGTTTAATCAATCACTCTGTGCTCAGAATACACAGTGTAATTATTATTCATAGCCTACGAAGACATTATCTCTCAAAGGGAACTGCTGAGAAGAAATGGTTGCCACCCACTTACCTCCCTTATCATTAAAGTCCCTTCTCTTGAAATACTGCTAAATTTGTCAGGGTGGGGAGGCTCCAGACCACCATGGCTCGATACCATTCCTAGATTGTAGGACTCATTGTTGGCTGGCATTCCCGTTGGTCTGAAAAAGAGGAGTTTTCAAAACAAAAAGAAAAGAGAAAGAAGTAGTTGGTTTCTCGTGATAAATTCATGACGACTATAGGAAAAAAAATTAACCTTAAAAGATTTGTAATTGCCAAGATATAGAAAAATCACGATCAGAAGCTAAAAGGATTCTATCTCATGTTCCCAAAATGCCGGTCTCTCTCATTCTTGGTATCTATTGCCTGAAAAAGCAATTTCACAGTTCTGATCCCAAACTTGTGGTTTTTTTTTTTTTGAAAGCTTGACATTACATTTTCAGTTTGTCCTGTGCTGCTTCCTGTCATATTCGGATAATATACAACTCTGGCTGCTCCATGGAATGTATTTTCTGAACTAACTTCAAGGAGAAAGACAGGAGAACTGGATGGTGTCTCTTTAAATGGGAAACGTGTATCCAATGTTATCATGTTCCCTCCAAGCTGATCCTGAAAAGGCCTTAAGGCATACACTGGGTACCAGTGGTGGGTTTCAAAGAGGTTTACCCCCAGTACGGTGGGTGTGGCTTGATGGGCACGCTTTGTGCGCACGCAGACACTTTGCACATGCGCGCACCAAACATGCACTTTGTGCATGCGCAGAGGCTTTTCTACTCACCTACTGTAATCCCTGTAGCTTCAACAGCTGATGTGCAGCAATCTGCTGTACCGCGCAGAGTAGCTGTATTTCCAGAGTAGGGAATAAAGGTCAGTATGGGAACCCGGGTGGATGGGCAGGAGGGCCCAACATCAGCTCATCAAAGAGAACTGGTTCAGTCTCAGCCGATCCTTGGTGCTATCGGTACACTAGGACCAGGCTGAACCGGTAGAATAGCACCACTGCTGGGTACCCAGGAACAGGGACGCAGGGAGTTGATCTGGTGGTTGGTCACTGCATCATAATCAAAGCTGTACCTTCCATTCATACATAGCTATCATGCTCATATATAAAAGAGCTTTGATTACAGTACCAGAATAACAGAATTGGAATGGGCCTTGGAGGTCTTTCTTTTTTCTTTTTTTTCGTTTATTTATACATTTTTCTTTTACATGCACAAGTGCTTTGTGAACAGTATACTGTCTGGGTCAATTTGCTTACGCATAATCATATTTATCTATTTTCTAATCTCTACCTCTATTGTCAAGCCATGGATAAAACAAGTTCCATGTTAGAAAATATTCTGTATCTTCTTTATCCTTTATCTTTAATGTCAACCTATCCATTTCTGCACAAGCTTGATTTTTTTAAAAATTACACTCTCTTCTGTAGGTATTTCCTCATTTTTTCCAGTGCTATGCAAATATAACTCTTGCTGCTGTCAAGACATGCAATATTAAGTATATATTCCCTTTATCACACTTTTCTGGTTACTACGCCTAACAAAAACATTTCTGGCTTATGATCAATATGTTGCTTTAACATTTTTTCTAACCACGTGTGCATTTTCGTCCATTTTTTTTTGCCTTTGCACATGTCCACCACATGTGATAATATGTGCCTTGTGTCTGATTGCATTTCCAACATTTTGCAGACATGTTTTGGAGCATCTTTGCTAACCTCGCAGTTGGCAGGTGGGGTTTTGGAGGTCTTGTAGTCCAACCCTCTGCTCAAAGAGGAAACCCTCTACCATTTCAGACAAATGGTTGCCCAATTTCTTCTTCAAAACCTCCAATGATGGAGCACCCATATACATCATCACACACCCCAATTTTGTACTAGTTTCAAGTACTCATCATAACATTATAATTCATATTATAAGATTCTTCTTGCCTTCAGCAGAAGCTAGACGAATGGGATTAGCAAGAAGGAATGTAATGTTATATGACTACATTTCAGACAGGCAGTTCTTGCCACACATGGGCTATTTTCAAAGTTATCCCCTCAGCTAGCATTATTGTCAAATCATGCGTCCCAACCGGGCCGTTTTTATTTTTGACAGCTCTCCAACATAAAATTTCAATACAGAATATTTTTCACTACATTAAGAAAAATACAAATAAACTAATTGCCTAAACGTCAGCCATATGTTTTTGGTTGACGAATGAAAATAAGCAACAGCTGCATGTTTTGTGCCCGAAGGCAGATATTGACCTAGTTAATGTTTATAGAAAGATAAATTAAAAGATGCTCTGATCATGAACCGGATGGACTGTTGAATTTGGTCAGCCTTCAGAATTTCAAGAAATCATTGAAGTGTGTGTTGATACAAATGGCAATGACGTGTTCAAATATTAAAGGTGGCGCCTGCCAAATAAAATATCAATCTCTATCTTTGAAATTGTCATGCCCATGTTGGAATCTGATTCTGAGGGGGAGGTCAAGCCGCTGACAGGGAGTGGGAGTGTGGCTCTGGTGGCTGTGGAAGAAACTGGGGAAGGGCAAAGTCCAGCTGGGCATTCAGAGGAATACCCAGGGCCACTCCCTCTTTATCCTAGGGCATGCAGGGAGGAACGGAGAAGGGAGCAATGTGAGTTATGTGGGTTACGGAAGAGAAAAGGGCCCTGATTCCCTACATTAGCTGCAGCTGGGAAAACAGGATTTAAAAAGGGTGTTTGCGCACATTACCTTGCTGGAAGCAAAGCGTGAATTATCTTTGTTTGTCAAGTCTTATCTGGGTTCTGGTGTCCTCCCAACTGTGTGTGTGTTTCAATATCTTTTGAAGTCTGCAATTCCTTATCCTGGCCTGTCCCATTAATTGCTGCAGCGTAGTTTGTGTTGGCTTTTATTTATAATTTATATATACTTTGGGTTTGGACTGAATTTCTTCCCTTGAAAAACTGTTCATGGGAGAGTCTTTTTTCTCCAGCCGAAGGTAACTGGACATTGGGGGCAAAGTTGGAGGTATTAAAGGGACTTTACCTACTTGTGTGACCTTGTTGCTTTTGTGCCACACCCCAGGTCATCACAGAAATACAGAAGAACTCAGAGAAGGTTCTTTAAAAAAAAACTGTGATTTTTCAAAAGACCATTCCTAAATTCTTCAGTATGAGAATGAGAAAGAATGCATTAGAGCAGGGGTGTCAAACTAACGGCCCGTGGGCCAGATGCATCCCACAGGGTGCTTAAATCTAGCCCATTGGGCCAGCCTGGAAATATCAAAGGACCAACCCACGGTGCCTCTGCTAGTGAAAATGGAGTACAAAGGGGCCCCCACACCCCGTTTTGGCCAGCAGGGTTCTGTAAGAGGCATTTGCCCCATTTCTTCCATCCCCAGCTGGCCTATAGGAGAACCAATGCTGATCTGGCCCTTGAAGAACTCCAGTCTAACACCCTTGTATTACAGAAATACATTCCACTGACAGACAGGATTGACTGTTGCTTTATGGAGCCCAAATTTACTATTTCAAAAATTTTGCACTAGGAACTCCACTTCAAGATGGAGATGTAGGGCTTGGACAGCTAGGTCTTCCTGAGCAAGGAGTCTCATTCAGTTAACTTGCTCAATGAACCTCATATCATTGGAGGAGTGGGCAATTCACTTTCCCAAGTGGCCATGTGAGAAACTGGGACTGTTAAGGTCCGCTACCATTGCCACTACCACCACTACAATCCTGCCGCCACCACCCCACCACCGCATGCCAGACAGGGACAGCCAAAGGACCAGACACAGCCCGTGATGCATCAAATGCTTAGGTCTGCATTAGAAGGAGGAATAACTTTGGTGGCTTAAAGCATTTTGGAAGCAGGAGGGCTGAAATAGGGGATGGAGCAGAGGTATTATTCAGCAGGTTCTGACCAGTTCTGGAGAACTGGTAGCAGAAATTTTGAGTAGTTCGGAGAACCAGCAAATACCACCTCTGACTGCCCCTGCCCCCATCTATTCTCTGCCTCCCGAGTCCCAGTTGATTGGCTGGGTCTTCTTTTGTTGCCCTGCACAGGAGAACGGAGCTGGAAAGGAGGTTAGTAGGGTGGGGAGGGAATGGGATTTTGCAGCAACCTTCCCCCAGGAGTGCAGAGGGAATGGGGATTTTACAGTATCCTTCCCCTAGAGTGGGGTGGGAATGGAGATTTTATGATATCCTTCCCCTGCCATGCCCAGCTAGCCATGCCCACCAAGCCACGCCATGCCCACCAAGCCACACCCATAGAACCGGTAGTAAACTAGGTGGAGGAATGATATAAAGTAAACAAAAAATTGGATATATCTATAGGCATTCCCTTTGTTTTTTAAAGGAGAGGAATTTGGGATATTGATTGATTCAGGGAAGACTATTGTTAACAGAAGTATTTTCTTACATCACTTACTTCAAAATGACAGCAAACCAGCCCCTCTATTTTAAGTAACTAACCTCAGAAGTGGTTCCAGAAACCACAAAAAAAGGAGGCTTGGGGTTAGATGTAGCTCTATAGGGCCCCATTTTGCTCACCTATGTCTTACTGCCATCGTCTGATTCCTTACCAAACAATGTAATGAAAATGTATATATTTAGTTGCTGGGTCCCTTCACCACTACTGTTGTGCATTTGTTCACTTCTCTTTGGGGAGAAAGAGAGAACAGGGGACTAAGCTCCCGGCCCAATCTGGTGGGAAATCTTTTGTATACATTATGGAGATGTTTTTTTCAGCCATTGTCTACAGCAGAGGCCCCCAACCCTGGTCTGTGGACTGGCACCAGACCAGAAACTGGGCCATGCAAACAAGCAAAGCCCCATCCACGGGATGCAGGCAGCATGCAAAACCACACCTTCTCTAGTCTGTGGGAAAACCTCTCTCCACGGAACCGGTCCCTGGTGCCCAAAAAAGTTGGGGGCCGCTAGTCTATAGAACATTATTCCAACCAACAATTCCAAATGAGGCGCATTTGTGGATTTATCTTCACCAAGAGAGAATGTCTTACATAAGCCGTGGGATGTCGCTGACAGGCACAGTGCCATCTTGGGTTTCACTTTCTCCGTCCTCTTCCTCCTCTTCACTGCTTTCGGACTCCTCACTGGAAGAGGAATAATCGGTAACTTTCTTTAAAGGCCGGTTGGTTTCCTCAATCCGCAGCTCCCGCAGTTCTTTTGCTAAAGCAGTCAGATCCTGTACGAGAAGGGGAAAATGCAGAAAAACGACGTGAATTTTCACCTGAACTACTGAAGGGGTGGAATGAGGATTAGGAAACGCGATAGCCAGCTGATATAGAAGGCAACATTATGGAATGTATAGAGTTTGTTGTACTAAACCCTGGCTTTATACTCACTGAAAACCAAACAGCAAACTGCTAACATATGGGTTACACATAAACATGTGTTTATAGCCTTCTATGAACATGTACAAGACTAGGGGAGGGGGAAATTGAACATTATGTCATGCAATTGACACAAATAAATTTGTATCATCTGCATGACAATGTCATGACACACACAAGCTCATTATGATAAGATTTAGCATACCTAAATCTATTGATAGCTATAGCAGTTACAAGAATGCAGTCGCCATCACAGTAAACTGGGAACAATGCTATCTCAGAAGGTTATTGATTCCAGACGTACAATTTGGATGATCCAAAATCTGCATGTCTTCCACTTAAAACACATTTAAGTGGAATGGAAGTGCATGAGGTCAACCATGACCAAATACCACAGACTTCAGATTATGCTAACTGAACTAACTTTGGCTATTACGTTTTCCATGTGGACCTCTTTATATCCATTTCTCTAGAAATTCAGTGCAATGTATCAAATGGATTCCTTATCTATGATTGTCACTAATAATGTGCAATATATGTAAAGCTCACATAATCATTTGAATCATGCATAACGATGTACAAAAGATATAGGCAGGGTGCATTTTACAATATGTGCATGTGAGTGCAAGTGAAGTGCATGTATGCATATGCAAAACTGGCCATGAATCATAATGCTAGAACCTAAATTACCAGACACAAAGTATTTTTCATTTAACACAACATTTAAGGTTCCCCATTTATATCTTAATAGTGTTGTTCGAGGCAAAAAGTTGTAAGAACTGTAAAGAGATATTTATTGTAATCTTACATGCTTTCATGACCACACAAAGGAAAGCAGTAGGGTAAAAATAAAAAGCACAATAACTTTAATTAAATGAGTTAGAAGATAATGCATTAAGCAAGCACAAGATGATCAAAACAATTGCAATCAACTCTCTTACAATATTAAGACTAAGGAACCTATTAGCAAATTTGCTCAGATATAAAAGATTAGGGAAAAAGAAACTGAAAAAAATTCAAGTTTCTATACTGTTGGTTGGTTTGTTCCTCTAGCTATATTTGCATTTTCCTGCATCATATAATTATTTTTTGTGTAAAATGTCTTGGAATGTCTCTTAAAAATAAAAATAAACAGTCCTTTGCAACCTGATAGGAGAAACTGAGAATTAAAAAAAAACCCTAACAATCCAGGCTCAGTGAAGTTCTCTTTGATAGTTCTGCACTCAGCTTGCTTGATTATGTCAAGCCCAGTGATGGGATTCAATTTTTTTTACTACGGGTTCTGTGGGCGTGGCTTGGTGGGCGTGGCAGGGGAAGGAAAATCTCCAGCCAGAGGTGGGGTTCTCTGAACTACTCAAAATTTCCACTACCGGTTCTCCAGAACTGGACAGAATCTGCTGAATACCACTTCTGATCAAGTCTATAGCGATTGTGTAAGGAAATCAGAGTGAAGTGTCATCTTCCCTCTACTCATCAAGTCTAATACTATTCAGGTTAAATTGTGAGCCTTTCTAGTCATTTTGTAAAATGTTATGAACAAAATCTATCTTGAGCATATTGAACTTTATGGGCAGACTGATATAGAAATAGAACAATGAACTAACGGGAGAAGTTTCAATCAACCAAATACCCGGTTTTCATTTGCTTAAACTACAGTGTCTACTGTTTTGAAATACTGCAGAAATTATAAATGTAAAGTTACCCAAATTCCCCATTCCATATTAGAGGAAGCCATCTTTGCAACTTTTAAGACATTACAAAATCAGAAGTCTCAAAATATAAATAAAAGCCAACTGAAGTTTTACTTCATGAAGCTAACAAGTCAAACTTTGCAATGCTATCAAATTCAACACATAACAATGCCAGGAAACAGAAAACTAAACTAACATCATTTCAAGAGGATTCCACCCAGATTAACTCAAAACAGTTTGTTAAAACAAAAATTATCCTAAAGTTACAACACATTAGCATAGCATTGCTATGCGACATTATTTGTCCCGCTTTAAAAGCATGGCTCTTTAATTCATTAGTGTGAGGATGAGACTATTGGTGATTACTGATTTATTATCCCAATGCAAAAATATTGTGAATCCTACCCACAAGGAATTCTCAACGGTTTTAGTTTGTCTGATGTTTTATGAGGGGAGATTGAAGTATAAAAGACAGTTGTTCAAGAAAAGGTCAGCAGTGGGGCATTTTATAGAATTTTTCTGAAGATCTGACATTAGTGACAAATTTTGAGCCGGCAATTGCTCTACTTCATTTTCAAAAAATCGAGACTTTTATTATTATTATTTTTTAAAATGGAGAGCTTCAGTATCTTGAAACTCATACCCCAAGTATCACATTTTCAAAGGTGCATTTTAATTATATTTGTTGCTTCACCATCCAACAAAGTGACCTAACCAAGTCATGATGATGTAACTAATGTTAACAATCAGTTTGTCCAATTTTTTGTAACTTGAAGTAGCAAGAAACCTACTGCTGTGTATTAGAGAAAATTATTTTTGACAAAAAGAAGGGCTAGAGGTGACATGATAGCAGTGTCCCAATATTTCAGGTGCTGCCACAAAGAAGAGGGAGTCAAGCTATTCTCCAAAGCATCTGAAGGCAGGACAAGAAGCAATGGGTGGAAGGAGAGAAGCAACCTAGAACTAAGGAGACATTTCCTGACAGTTCGAACAATTAACCAGTGGAACAACTTGCCTCCAGAAGTTGTAAATGCTCCAACACTCGAAGTTTTTAAGAAGAGATTGGATAACCATTTGTCTGAAATGCTGTAGGGTTTTCTGCCTAAGCATGGGGTTGGACTAGAAGATCTCCAAGGTCCCTTCCAACTCTGTTATTTCTGTATTCTATATGTTTTTTCTTAGTTATGACAAACAAGTAAGATAAAATTTGTGATTACAACATAATTAGGAGTTGTGAATACCTACTCCCACAAAATTCTCAAATCTAAAAGTTGGAGGAGCAAATCTTATGGATGGTGCCTTGAAATATATAGGAAAGGTATGCTCAATCAAATAACGGACAGCAGGAGTAAACACCATCACCATCAAGCCAATATTAACAGTTTAAGGACTAGAATCATAGATGAATGTGTGACACTCTTCTTTCTACTCTCTAGAACAGGGTCTCCAACCTTGGCAACTTTAAGCCTGGAGGACTTCAACTCCCAGAAAACTTTGCTGGCTGGGGAATTCTGGGAGTTGAAGTCCTCCAGGCTTAAAGTTGCCAAGGTTGGAGACCCTTGCTCCAGAAGATGAATACAGTTTTTACACCCCATTATATTCTTTTTTATGTAATTAAAGAAAATAACAACTATGGCTTCTACTACCAACAAACATAATTAATTTCTGGCCTAATCTAAGCAAATATTTTCATTACTAACAAATTCGTTGGTTTTAAATGCTTCGGTCAACCCCCCCCACCCACCCCCCGAAAACAAGCCCAATTAAGATTTGGGCAGCATGAATATTTTTCTAATATACCTTTCAAAGTCCAGTAATGAATGACTCATTCATTCTGACTGGATTGTTTCCAATTACCTGCAGCAACACATCATATTACTTTTAAATTAGTCTGCTCACCATCATCCAACTAGAGAATTAAATAGTAAAAAAATTGGCTTATACATTCTCAACTGCAACCCCTATTATAATTTGGATATCAAACTAGAGCTTCATAATTACTGCTCACAAATCATTCAAGCAAGAGAAAGGGGCCCCCAACTGGGCCTAAATGTTTCGTTTCTTAGATTTCTAGGTTTCCAATCACACATGAAAACAACAGTTTTAATCCACAGGGTGTTACAGATACACTGGTGTTCAATGTAGCATGTCTCAGAGCAGCTTTACATGGTTGAAAGAGTTGCGAATGGCCTTTCTATAATTTCAGAATGTAGGAAGATGATACTTCTGGGAATGAACATTTTAACCTGTGTAAAAAAAAACCCTATAATAAAGGTACCAATCATCTTTGATGTAATAGCTGTTTGGTAAAGGTCCTGACATATTTTCCTAAATCGGTTTCAATCTGGGATTTATGAACATACTTCCTGGCCTCTGACCAGTTGTCTTCTCTTTCTTCAGTTTAGCTATCCTAATTTGGAGGGACATATAATTTGGAATGTTATATTTATATTTACAAAGAAACAAAGAGTATGACTAGCTGATGAGAGCTAAATAGGTTGAAATAGATCTATACTAGCCTCCCTTTATTTCTGTCGGTAAATATAAATTTAACACAAAAAAATAGTTTGTTGCAAAAGTGACTGCCTGCGAAGGCTCTTGGATTGGGAATGAAAAGCAAAAGAAGCAGCAGTATGCTCCGTCCCATATTTGGGTAGACCAGGTTGCCCTGATAAAAATTACTTATAGTTTAGAATGTGTGGAAAAAGGAATTGTGAGAATTAGATCCAGGCAATGCCAAAAGCAAATACCCCACACTACGGAACTGGAACAACTGATGTAATGATGCCGTCTAGATAGAGTACATGAGTAGCATAGATCTTTATTCTCTGAATTTTTAGGGAAGTCAAATTTGGAGACTTTCTATAGTTCTTTTTTTTTTATATGATGGTAAGCCTGTGAAATGTAGGCTTTCTAACTCCAAATGATAGAATGTTGTGGTTCGCTGGCAGCCTGTGCAGACAGCAGCAGAACTGGACAGTGGGGAAGAATGGGGACCAGAGCGGGAATCTGGGGAGGACTTGGACTAGGGTCCTGCATCCTATGCAGAGATGTGGCCAGGACCATCTGGGAGTGATGTACTGGCTCTGGAGCGTCCAGAGTCTGGCAGCAGCGAGGCAGAGGAACAAAGGGAGCATGTTCCCAGTGCACGTGTGCGCAGAGTTGCTAGAAGGCAAGAGCAGCTGAGACAAAAGGGGTGACTCAGGAATAAGGCTTGGAGGTGATTGCCCCCTCCCCTAAGGTTTAAAGTAGGTGCAAAGGTACAGAAACCTTTGCAGGAAGCAAAATTATTTGCTCTGTTCAGATTAAACCTTGAAGCTCTATGTGGACTTTTTACTTTGGTTGTTTTTTTTACAGTTAATTTGGCACTTTAGTTGTTGGCAGCAATTCAAAGGAGATAAAGGTGGGTGCTTATCTCAAGGGACATTACGGCTGGGAATGAACATAATTCCCAGCGTTGAAATAAAACAAGAATTATTTGGACTAAGCGTGTGCTTAATTACGGTCTCAGGAAGCCTTGGTCAGAACATTGGGAATAGCATTTACTGGGTTTTTTAAAAATTGGAGTGTCTTTAATACCCAAAACACATGAGCAGCTACACATCACTTCTGTCTGGGTTGGGGAATTCTCTATTCAGCAACCATGGCATAAAATAATGAACAGGTTTCTTTGTTCTCACTCATGCTTCTTTACATAATGAATATATAAGTTTTAGTTTGTGTAACTAGCAAAAGCACATATTCAAGCAGGGAAGATACCTAGATACCTGCATGGCAGCTCTGATTCAGCTCATGAGCTTTAAATAGACCCCATGATGCAACCAGAATATCCATGGTGACATTTCCCTTTATTCTCATGTGGATTTGAAGCCTTTACCACATGATCTTAAAATGGTGAGTTTGAAACCTAAAAATCTAGATCTACATGTAACTTTTACCTGTTACACAAATGCCCAAAAGGATCAGGAGAAAGTGCAATTTCCATATTTCAGTAAATACCTGAGATAATAGACAACATTTTAATCAGAATTGACTTTTCTATTTTGGGGGAGGAAAATCTAGCAATATGGGTTTATTTAGGTTCCTACTATCATTATAACTCTAATATGCCACAATCTTATCTGAGTGGGTTAAATACATCATGATGGAAGACAACTTAAATAAAAGTTTTACATGTCACACTTACACCTATTTTTCCTTTTAGAGAGAGTGTTTCTCTAGTTATATTAAGATCTTTCCTCTGGAATTACAATTAGCAAGAGCCCATTTTGTGAGATGTTAGCAAACAAGGAAGTAGGGTTTACTTTAAGCATAACTTTATGCAAGGGCATGACAAACCAAGAATAGACACTGCTATAAACCTTCTCTATTGCTTTATTATAGACTTGAGGGTAATGGTGAATTAATTAGCACCAGAAGGAAAAAAAAGATCAGGATAGGAAAAGATGTCTTTAAATTTAATAAATAAATAATAACATGTCAGAAAAACCAGGTCAGTTAGAAATAAAACAAAAATTGTTAAGTCAGTGTAGGGAGAAAAATAAAATGTCAGAAAAATCAGGAAGTAAGTTAGAAACAAACTAAAAATGATTAAGGGCAAAAAGAGAAAAACACAATAACAAAGTAATTTCTTCTACACCCTATTCCAATTTAGAAATACAAAATGTCAAAAAGCAAAATCAAGCTGGTATGAAATGGCATAGTCAGCTTGTTACAGGCCTTTGTGAAATCTCATAGCAAAAACAATGGTAGTTTAGATTAGCCACAGGGCAGAGGATATTTAATTAAATTCCTTCTCGTCTACTTCTTTCGGTTAGGAATCAAGGCACTGAGCTGAATCTCCGTGCTTCATCTTGTGTTGAACCAAGCCAGAATTTCTCGAAAGATTCCCCAAAATAAAAACAAGTGCAGATACAACAAACGATTAGAAACTACATTGACAACTGTCCGTACAGGTAGTCCTCAACTTACAACAGGTCATTTAGTAACCATTCAAAGTAACAATGGCACTGAAATGTGACTTATGACTGTTTTTCACACCGATGCAACATCCCCGTGGTCAGGTGATCAAAATTCCAACACTTGGCAACTGACTCATATTTATGACCCTTGCAGGGTCCCAGAGTCATGTGATCCTCCTTTTGTGACCTTCTGACAAGCAAAGTCAAAGGGGAAACCAGATTCACTTAACAACCGTGTTACTAGCTTAAGAGCTGCAGTGATTCACTTAACCAACGGGGCAAGAAAAGTCGTAAAATGGGGCAAAAAGCCCCTTAACTAATTTCTCACTTAGCAACATAATTTTTGGGCTCAATTGAGGTAATAAGTTGAGGACCACCTGTACTACAGTACCTTACAAATACTTGAAGTATACTTTAAGTATGATGTTAGATACTTATTTCTTCTCCCCCCCCACCCCCAAATTGTACAAAATTTGTGGAGAGATGATTCATCAAATAAAAAAAAAAAAGCAGCAATATAAGACCCTTGGTGACACAGTGGTTAGAGTGCAGTACTGCAGGCTACTTCTGCTGACTATCAGCTGCCTGCAATTTGGCAGATTGAATCTCACCAGGCTCAAGGTTAACTCTGCCTTCCATCCTTCCGAGGTGGGTAAAATGAGGATCCAGATTGTTGGGGACAAGATGCTGACTCTGCAAAGTGCTTAGAGAAGGCTGGAAAGCACTATAAAGCATATATCAGTCTAAGTGCTATTGCTACTGCTACATACTACTCATACATGACAGATGCCTAGCACAAAAGATAAATGGGACTCACAGCAGGTCGACTTGGCCGGGTCATCTCCTTGCTTTCTTCCTGCTTTACCTTGGCTGGTTCATGTGGGAGTATGGGCGATCCTTCAAGCTTGGCATTTCCTGGGCAAAGAAGAAACCCAGTACAAAAAAGGATTCAAGACCAAATCAGGGAGGAAGTCTGAGGCAGTGGGAGAAAGTCTGCCTCATAAAATCCCATTCTCTTGGGTGTTGACTGTAATCTTTTTTGAGCCTAGATCTCAAAGCGTACATGCTGGTCTGAGAGAAATCCCCATTTCTTTTCGTTCTCACACCATTGGCATTTTGGTACTGGTTACATCTGCTTAAGATAAGTTTCTCCAAAACCTGGAGAAACCTTTTCAGGAAGCTTGGCTTAGTTAAACTTGTATCTGAGCCATACCACTTCAAATGAAAAGTTGGCATTGATACCAACTATGAGTTGGAACGTAGTGCAATTTTGGAATCACCCCGTCAGGATATAAAGTTTGATGCTATGCTATGGCCTCAGACTAATCTGGGTACCTCCAGATGTATGGTCTTCAATTGTTCCCAGCTTTCACCATTGCTTTAATTCACTCATTTGGAAGACACCCAGGTGGGGTGGTGGTTTGGGGATTTATTTGGTTGAGGATTCTTTCATCTGCCAAGGACTTCTTCAGTTCTCTGATGTAGAAAGAGGCGATAGCAAACTGCCTTAGTGGCATCCATTTTCTTCAGCATTCAAACATATATCGTCCTTCACTCAGGAACTGACAACTTTTTGTGCCCCAAGCTAAATTTAATGAGATTTTAGAGATCTCATCACATCTTTTCCCCATAAACTTGAGATCCTGTGGAATGCTAACTAAATTTTGAGAGGCCAGAATGGTTTAGACTTGGAAAGAAGCCTGGCACCTGTGGGAATTCTGAGCTGATCATGGGTGCTAAACTGTAAGGTTGTTCACTTCTTTGTGTCTTAGCATGTTGTGTGAACCCAATAGCTTAATACTCTTGGCAAACCAAGGAGATACTGCTTGTCCAATAATCATGGCTAAAATATCCTGGCTTAGTGTTTCATAGCAAGGCAGACATTCAAAACACAAACAGAGTTTAGGACACAGGGAGAAATGAACATTCTTTCTAGCATTATAGGTGGTCACAGATGATAATCCAATGAATTACGAGTATTTCAAGCAGCAAAAAATGAAAATAGAAGAGGACAAATTGTAGGCATGAGAATGGGCTGAAATCTCACCTCTGGCTCGGTTCCGCTCACTGGAACCAGCTTGGGATCCAGGCTGAGAGCCGCCCTGTGAACTGGGCTGTGAACTGGGGGTGCTGGAGCTGGAAGAACTGCCACTGCTTGTCCTCTGTATCAGATTTTCTATTATGGGCTCCGTTCTCCGCAGGTCTGGGTTACTAGAAAGAGGAAAGAAAAGAGGATGTTGTACCTACTTATTTGTATTCCACCTTTATTATTTGTTTATAAATAACTCAAGGTAGTAAACATACTTAATACTGTTCCCATTTTCCCAACAACAACTGCAATCCTGTGACATGAGTTGGGCTGAGAGAGAGTGACTTGTCCAGTCACCCAGCCAGCTTTCATGCCTAAGACAGGGCTAGAACTCACAATCTTCTGATTTCTACATTGGTGCCTTATCAACTAGACCAGACTGACTCTCGTTTATCTATTCATCTATTTCATGAATACTTTAGAAAGATTCCTGTGAATTAGTAAGGTGGGAGAGAACCCTTTGATGCTTATTTTGGTCAACGTTGCAAATTTTCATTGAAGACCTTTGGTATTGAAGATGGCATGTATCCCTAGATCTAACAGAATAACAACCAGGTTGCTCTGGTTCCTAACGCCATGAACAGCTAAACCACAGCTGCCTCTTTCTTCAGAAAGGAGCAAACTGAACATCATTTGTGGGGGAGGGGCTTAGATCCCCTTCCAAATATAATGCTTTAAAACAGCATCAGAAAATCTACAAAATTGGAAGGTTAGTCATTAAGTAGAGGCAATGGATAAAACTTCACTGTAAACTGCAGTGAAAAAAACAACCGATGTCATTAATGTTTGGTAGTCCTTTCCCTAAACAAGTTTATGGCTACTCCACTGGGATGGATTAGATTTCTTCTCCTCCAAGGAGAAAACTATTATTTCAACAATTTCCTGTTGATCCATAAGATCTTTACTAAGTAAAATAAGGCAAAACACCACTACCTAACCGTAAAGCCAAGATCCTGCAGGAATATTCCCAAACTACTTCTTGTATGTGTAAAGTAGGGAAAATGAATGAATACTGTGCAGGTTTGAAAACCTTACATAACATCCTCACAGAGTAAGAAGTTATCATTCTCATTATGTCAGAGAACCAGGCTTACAAATCATTAGTGGCTTTGGGTACTATCAATTCTCCAATCAAACCTCTGGAAAAGTTGATAAGAGATCTTGGATGATAGATGAACTGTATCATTGAATATCTGCATGTGTAATCACAACTTCATAGTAAACAAGAGACAACCTAATTACATAGATATGGTCTTCAAGAAATCAATAGCCATCAAATAAATATTGGGCCTTATCTATGATCATCCATTTATTTAAATTCTTTGCAGCATACCATTTTGAAATTTCCTTAATTTCTGCTAAAACAGTCAGTATTTTAAAAAACTGATTTATACAAGATATGTTAGGAGATGCAGTAGGATGACCAAAACAAAGTCATTAAGAGTAATGGGATGGCAGCCATCAAATTAAGGAAACCAGTAAGTGATAAGTTAAACAAAATCATTCTGAAACCAGCTGCAAATATTCTATGATATATGTAGCTCTGTATTTCAGCTACCATAAATTATACACCAGCTACTATTGACTAATCTATTTGCCTTGTTCTAATTCCCTCCAAAAGGCAACAACTGAGTTGATCTTGAGATAACTGAAAAGACTCAAGGCAGTCTCAGATATGACTGTTCATCTACTGTAGAACACACAACCCAGGTGTGTTATTTCACATTGTTCACTCCAGGCTGGCTGTGAGGTATTAGGAGAACTGAAGTACCACATGCCTAGAGGGATCTTCTTAGCTGAAGGATGCCACTTTTATCTTGTCCTATCTTTTCTTTGATCTCACTTTCATCTTTACAGTTAGTGAAAATTGCCTATGTATACTAACAACATTCTATCATTGGACATTGAATTTGAAAGCAAAGTGCCTAGCTCCAAGCAACAATTCCATTGCAAATTAATGAAGAGACATTCCTAAGAACAAGTACAGGTGTGAAAATCCAGCCTAAAGCAAATGCAGAATAGAAAGTTAGACTTGAACAAGAGGAATCTGCATTTAAATCCTGCTTGTTGGAGGTGCTAATTGTATAGACATTCCACCCTTTCTTCTAGAGGTAAGAAAAACATTGAAACTCAGTTTTCTTGGTTCTATCCGAACTTCTCTAGCTGCCCTTAAACTGTTCTTATATTTAAAATGAGATTAGCAAAACCCATCCTGTTCTTTCTCTCAAGAGTTCAGATCCCAGCAAGGAAGAAAGAAGACAAAAGGGCAGCTGTGCCCAAAATAAAGTGGTAGCTTTTATGCATGTCACCTTGAGTGGAAAACTATTTTGGTAAATAACACATAGATTATCCATTTTTAACTGGGTCATTCTAAGAATAACTCACTAGTTTTATTCTGGGTTTTCTAACCCTAAAACTGTATATTCCAAATTCTATCCAGTTGGGAAAGGCAGTTATAGAAGATGAAACATTTTCTTGCCTGAATACAATTCAAATATTTTCAGACTGGTTTCTGTAGATTTTGAATTTTAGATGCAGTATGAGTGAGGTTTCCTAGGGAAAATTCTAGATTTTCTGCCTTTCTGAGCAAATCTTTCAATCTTCTACTTAGATGGTGTTTGTTGTACATTGAGGTGCACAAAAGAGTCTTTGGGCTATGGCTGCTTTGTACTGTATACTGCAACAGGATCTGCAGTGTGATGCAAAACACAAAACTAATTGAAGAAAGAGCAAGAAATCCTAGATCCAAGACTTACATCCTTTTAGGCAAAGGTTGCTGCTGCTGTATGCCAGAAATGATATTTGAAATATTGTGGAGATGAATGCTTGCCAAAGTCTTAAATAAATCTTGGCCATTTCCTATTTTAGAGCAGTCCCCTAGCTCTTAATGCATTAGTTTAGTTAAATCAGATTAAATCCTGATTTATCAAGAGCTGAAATAAGTAAGATCTCTTGACCAGCATAATATGAAATATACAAATGACATCTATCTATCTATCTATCTATCTATCTATCTATCTATCTATCTATCTATCTATCTA